AAAAAAACGTTTGGGGTGTGTGGGGGGGGGGGGGGGGGGGGATAGTTACTGCACTACACAATATTAACAAGCAATTCCAGTCATCCAGTGAAGTCAATCAGTTACTGGCTAATTTGGATTAGGAAATAGGGCAACTGTGGCAAAACTCAGAGGCTGGGTTCACACCTAGGCGTATTGAATATGCGCTTTTGTCGCGCCCCGCGTTTTCACCGCGATTCGCGGTAAAAAAAACGTGCGCCAAACGCGCGTTTCCGAGGGCTACTTGGCTGTATCCCAATGGAAATGTGAGACCAAAACGCCCCAAAGAAGTACATGTACTTCTTTGGGCATAGGCCGTTTTGTAGCGCGTTCAGACGGGCTGAAATACGGAAAGGTGTGAACCATACCCATAGAAAACAATGGGATTTTCAAGTTTGTACGTTTTGTAGAGCGTTCATAGAGTATTGAACACGCGACAAAACGTAAAGGTGTGAACAGGGCCAGAAAGTGTACAACCGTTTTTTATGTAATCCACTGATGCCAGGTTCCAGAGAGCATACCAAGGGACAGTTTTTGTGTTTAATCCTGGGGCCAAAGGCTCCCAGCCCTCCCCTAGCTTACTGAATCAATAGCAAGATTCAAACTTCCAAAAAAGGTCTGAATCTGACTGTTGAGAAACTTCTTAGTACTGACACCGTCAATCCTCAATGTAAGGTGAAGCAAAGAGCCTGCAGGTACCATCAAAAGGGAGTATGGTAGGCTGATGCAATGTCTGGATAAAACACTGAAGCCTAATCAGACTGTATGCATCTCAATGTCTAATTTTCTATTTGGGCTGGAGTGGACCTTTAATAGTCATAGGTAGAGAATAAATATTTTATATAGTGCTTCCAGATGCACTTAGACATCCACTTAGTAGGATCCAATAAAAAATGCAGGAAAGCAGCTATTTCATAGTACTACCCATTTATGAAGATATAGCTTAAATATTTTGAGTACGAACCCCAACTGCATAGTGGTTATTCTCCATCACAGAAAAGGTCATCCGCAGGCTATAAAATAATGATGTTTTGAATAACCCTTTCATCCAATTACACATCAGTGAATTGCACGGAAGCACTGAGGGCATCTTTAAATTAGGAACAAAATATTTTTAATTTGTCACGATAGTTAAAATTAAGTCAAGCATAATTCATCACAAGGACAGTAAAATCTCCTCTAATCCTGGAGGGCACAACTCTATTAAATGTTTTTGTAACATTTCAGACGAGTCCCAGCAATCAGTGCAACTTATGTCAAGGACCTGTCAACAGCTGCAGCCACTTACAATGAGGTTGGTCTAACAGTAATGCCTATGCACACATGAACTGCTTTCAGGCCTGGAAAGGCCATAATGTCCCAGGCCCATGACCGCAGCTATAATTCTACTACTACTGGCTACTAGGATGGCACTGCAGTCTCAATACTGTGTCTTTTCATGTAAGTTAGTCCTATCTTTAAAGCTAAATGTTAGGTAAATATAAAAGATGCACATTAATACAACCCTGCATTTATTAATACATAATTTAATGTATTTTAACTATCTGAATTTTACTTGTAATCAAGCTCTTGAAGTTCCTGTACAGCAGAGCTCAGATTAGGAGAGGGAGAAGCAGCACAAGGAGCCAGGAAGCTGTGTACAATACAAATCTTTTTACAAGGGAAACAGCTCCTATATATGTATTTTATCTGTGTATTTAGTGGTTTCCCTAGAGCTCAAATAGCTGTAATAAATGTATTGTGAATGTGTACCTAGAGCATTACTCACCTTCACTGTAGATCTCACATGACAGGATTATTCAATGGACACCACCCACGGAGTAGGAAATGATAATTGTGATATTAAATACTTTGTAATATGTTTGTTTGTTAATGAGATGTATATATTTTGTTTCTTTATATATTTCTTTATATATTATGGTCATGGATAAATATAAAATAGTTTGCTTTCTTTTTATTAGGAAAACACGATATATTTCAATATTTGGTAATTTCATTTTCAGCCAGCAGCCAGCAATCATTGCTCTCAGCTACTTCCACGAGTTCTCCAAGCAATCTTCGGCTGCTTTAGTTGCTTGTGTTGATGGGTTTTGGGCTTGTGTCCATGGTATCAGTTAACCATATGTTTTACATGCTTCTGAGATCATTCAGAATTCATTGACAAGTGCATTTACTTGCAGTTGACCTCCTTTTGTCCTACATTTGACTTGCTTTAAGCAGGTTTTTTAAAAATCCTTTTAGTCTTGTATGGGAATGCAAAACCCATCTAATGCTAGCAAAAGCCCATAGACGCAGCCCCTTACATACAGCTTACATACAGCAGAATGAATAAGAGCCACTGCTAGCCACCTTCGGTCTGTTGTGTTCCGCATTCACGTTACGTTATAATTTTGTATTTAGATTTTTCATAAAGTCTCATTTACATACATAATCACATGAGTTATCATTCCTTAAATTAACACTAGTTGCATATTGGTGATAAATTCAGCCTTTATAAATTGTTTTTAAACAGAAGTAAGAGATTAGCATCAATTCTCCATATGACAAATATTCGGTGGATAGCTTTAACAAATGAATGGTGGGGGAATCTGACTACTGCCTATGTCCCTAATGCCATTTTATTCTGTCATAAAATATGCATTCTCATAAGAGAACCGAAGAAATGCAGTGCTTTCAGTATAAAGTGACTGCAGGCAGCACATGCAAAAAAGATGTCTCTACATGTGTTGTAAAGAGCTGTGCAAACTGTTGGCACTATATAAATCCTGTCTAATAATAATAATAATAATAGAGATCAGACAAAATAATTTGCTACTGGTCCCCCCCATTGCCTTTTGAAGCGTTTGTGTGCCCCGTACAGGTTGCTGGCTGACGTGGAATGGTCATCTTGTTGCATTACAAGACAAAAACCTATCATCCTGTATGAAAATACTGTACATGCTTCATATAATGTTCAAACTGTAATGCTTTGTAGAATATACTCCTAGTAGCTTCCCCCAGCACTCCTTTTACTCCTGTAATTCTGTAGTAGCTTCTCCCATTATCTCCTCTCTCTCTTCCTATCTTTGCCAGTTTGCCCACCAGTGAAGTTTGCTCTCTTCTCTCTTTCCATAAACAGAAAACGCAAGCAAATTGTGGGATATCATGCAAAGGTCTGCATAAGGTCAGACTGATCCCAGCTTCTCACCAGAATCTCTAGGATTAACCTGTTTATTAGAGCAGTGCACTAAAATATTTTCTTTTGCCCACTTGGACTCTGACGTAGGTTGACCTTTACAGACTGCCAAGAAACCTCAGTGGGTACAATAAACATGGTGAAATTCAAAAAAATCGCTGATAAAAAGAATCAGATGAGGCTACCATACCTGAGCACCTGACTCCCTGAGCAATAAGGCCCCACATGAAGTTAGCACAATATTCACACCAGTGAGGCCCCCGAAATGTGTGTACCTGCAAGAAAGACAAGACATGGTCATGAGAAGACAAAGAAAAAAATGCTGCAATATAGTGCATGCCATGCAAATATCCTGAATCCTACTTTTCAAAGTCCTGAAATCAGGCAATTGTTTTCCCTAGCTTTTCCTTTATTGTCAAGGTTAATTTTATAGGCAAGGATCATAACTTTAAATTCATTTTCTCTTAAAAAAACGTAATTTAATCTCAAGGGAAGTGTGCTAAATCACTTATAACCTTGCTACAAAGTTTCAAGAAGGCTTGTCCATAGAATTGCAGGATAGCCAAAGTAGCCCCATAGTTCCTTCACTACTTAATTAGCCACTGATCTAGAACAAGTATGTACTTATCAGTTCTTCTAAATATCATGGTTAAAAAACATTAATGGTGTTCACTGACCTATAACTAGTCCCCAATCAGTGACTATTAGTCTGAAATTAAAAGCTGTTTAAAAAATCTGATATAATGCCATTATTTCTATCACATGTCTATGATGTATGTTATGTTAAAGTGGACCTTTACACTCAAAAATGAAATTCTACCAATGCATCCCTCCATGTATGATGATTAATAAAAACATAGACATGGGCATTTTCCTTCCCTGAGATGATGTGCATGGTCACATGTCCTAGTCACAGGTCTAGTCACATGTGCCAGAAATCAAGGAAGTAAAAGGAGAGCTAGTAATCTGCCTTTAGTAAACATGGCCACTGTCAGAAGACTGGGGAAGAAAAGACAATCAAGGTATGCAAAGAATACAAAGCCGGCAATTATCTAGAAGTATGTGTTTGTAGATTGTCATTTCTAAAGGTGTGTTTGTTGTTATTTTAAAGATATGGGTAAAGGTCCACTTTAATAATTAATGCAGTAGGTTAGGTCTGAAAACAGACATTTAAAAAATATAATATAAAACAGCAATAACAAAAATGAGGGAACATAAAGGGAGATTGCTGACAGTTAACACACACAATGCCTCAACATACGCAAGAGATAAAAACTGCTTTGGGAACAAGTAATTTTCTAAGTTGTATTTTAAGCAGTCTTTGCGTCAGATGTAGCACAAGGCCCAGATAATCATGACTTTTAAAAACCAGACCTAGGAACAAAGACCAATAAAATCAAATGACTAAATCACTAAGTATTTGTGTAGCTTCAGCATTTCAGCGTCCCAGTTAGAAAACACTAAACATACACTTATGTGGCCAACATCAAAGATAATTGCTCCTCTACAGCTAAAACATTTCAGAAAATTATGATTATGGGGTTTATTCTTGTGGCACAAAAAATATGGTTTTACATAATGGTTTAGTACAAATGGATTAGAGCTTATACCAGGGAATGACAGGAGGAAAATATATTCTGGAGATGATGAAAGTTTTAGAACTGTATGTAAATCTCATAAGATGGAGAGGCTTCAAGAGGGCATTTCCACAGACAGGTACAATGAATTCTTTAGGCTGCACAAATGCATTTTGAGCTACTTTTTCTTTCTTTTATATATTCTTACAGCTGTGGCCTACCACTTCCGCCTTCCTTGCTTAGGCGAGAGTGACGTACGCATCTCCTGCCTGCAGCTTCTTATGATATGTAATGTGGATATTGCAGGTGGTTGTACATGGAAGGTGCTCCTCCCTAGTATTCCCACTATAGGGAATAACATGGCGCCAGATCTCCATCTACGCAAGATGTGTCAGGGAATTGGCTGCATAAATCAAGAATAAATACAAATGGTAGCATGAAACAAGACCTGCACCAGAACTGCACTTGTGAGGTGGACAGCCCTGGACTTGATGGACTTGTAAGTATGTTTATTCTTCATAATATAGGGAAGTATTTATCATAGCAGCTGGGGATAAGGAGGTGCAAGGTCTGCTTTAAACAGTATCAAAGAAAACTTGTGCTACGAGAATTATTGGCCCTGTATATTATAAGTGACACTAAACTCAGGAATTAAATCTTAAAAATGCATTCAAGTACCCTAACCATTAACAAAAATGTATCTTATTTGTGTATCACTCAGCTGCTGATCCTAAATCATCTCTGAATTTGTGCTGAAACTGTCCATCCTTCTGGAGGAGGTACTTTTGTTCCCCATGGTCCCTGTGTGTGTTGTAAAGTAGCTCCAAGCTCACTCCTATGATGGACTACAATCTCACATTTAGTTTACTAATTAGTATTGAGATTGCAGATCCTCATGGGAGTGAGCTTGGAGCGGTGGCTACTTTACAACACACACAAGAAGAAAAGTAGTCCCCTCCAGAAGGAAGGACAGTGTCAGCTTGAATTCAGAGATGACTTGAGAATCTACAGCTGAGTAATACACAAATAAAATACATTTATTGTTAATAGTTGAGATACTTGAATGGATTTTGAAGATTTAACTTCTGAGTTTAGTGTCACTCAGGAGGCTGGGGAGTACCTGCGTTTATTTGTTGACAAAAAAAGCGTTATTGAAATATAAATCCCTAACCTGCGAAGAAAGCGCTATTATACATACCGGTCTGTTGGCCAGTTTGCTAAAACATCATTCTGTAGCAGATCTCTCAGTACTTATGGCCACCGCTGGCCACTGTGGTTCCTCCTGCTGACCCCTAGACATTTCAGGACACAAAAGTCACATAGGGGGTCTTTGGAAGGAACCACAGCCACCAGTGGGGGACATCCTCTTCTACATATCTGAAAAAATTGAATCGGTTCAGTGCTAGGAGCTCTACTGCAGCGTGAAGTTTAAGAAAGTCCATGGGCAGGTATGTAAAGTATAGGTTTTGGCTTTTTTATTTTGTTGACCCCCTGACAAGGTTACTAAGGCTGCTGTTAAATGGTAAAATACTCCAGGCTCCGACATTATTGATGCTCAGTATTTTTATTAGACAGTGTATGTCCACACTAAACCTACTCTTACATAAACCATGAATACTGAATTAATGCACGTTTACATAAACTGTTCCTTGCTAAACTCATACAGAATACAGCAAAGGAGTATGTATGGATTTTACTATAATACTGTAGGTTGTGTCTTTGTTAGAACAGGTCTAGTAGGTATAGCATTATCTGATGCCTTTTTGACAGCTACGACAATGGATGATTCATCCTTAAAGGGACCGAAACCTGCTGACCTTTCCCACTGGTGTGGCAATGCTTAAACCTTTATTGGCAGAAGCTATGATCAAGATAAAATGCAATGAAAAAATGGAAAAAAAATGCATAATGAGGCTAAATTCTATCAGGACAGTAATGCATTAACTTCTGTGACAGGCACACCTTTAACACTGGCGTCACCGGTAACACACTGCCCTCCTAAGCAATTAGGATTGTCAATGAAGCCAGATCTATGAGACTTAGCAAAGTGGGGATATATACTAGTTTTATAAAAGGAGGAATACACACAGAACAGAACAGAACAGAACATATTTAGAACAGAACATATAGAGCATTTTACATCATCAAAGCTTTACTGAACATTTTTTTTTTTTTTTAAACAAGCAAGGCCATTGATGAGTATTGTACTATACAGTATATAACTTTATAGAATTATCATTTTTTTAAAAGATCATCATTGTAAACTAGTCAATGAGTCAGAGGTTAAAGTCAATTCAGGTTTGTGTCTGACCTGCCCTGACATATATAAAGAGATATACAGTGCAACTATATTGCCAAAAGTATTGGGACACCCCTCCAAATCATTGGATTTTCCTTGCTACTAAATATTCCACAGTCAACTGTTAGTGGTGTTATAACAAAGTGGAAGCAACTGGGAACAACAGCAACTCAGCCATGAATTGGTAGGCCAAATAAAATGACAGAGCGGGGTCAGCGCATGCTGAAGCACACAGTGCACAGAAGTCGCCAACTGTCTGCAGAGTCAATAGCTACAGACCGCCAAACTTGGTGTGGCTTTCAGTTTGGCACAACAACAGTGCATAGAGAGCTTCATGGAATGAGTTTCCATGGCCCAGCAGCTGCATCCAAGACTTACATCACCAAGTGCAATGCAAAGCGTCGGATGCAGTGGTGTAAAGCACGCTGCCACTGGACTCTAGTAAAGTGAAGACGTGCTCTCTGGAGTGACGAATCACGCTTCTCTGTCTGGCAATCTGATGGACGTGTCTGGGTTTGGCGGTTGCCAGGAGAACGGTACTTGCCTGACTGCATTGTGCCAAGTGTAAAATTTGGTGGAGGGGGATTATGGTGTGGGGTTGTTTATTCAGGGGTTGGGCTTGGCCCCTTATTTCCAGTGATTGGAACTCTTAAGGCATCAGCATTTTAAGACATTTTGGACAATTTCATGCTCCCAACTTTGTGGGAAAAGTTTGGATATGGCCCCTTCTTGTTCCAACATGACTGCGCACCAGTGCACAAAGTAAGGTCCATAAAGACATGGATGAGTGAGTTTGGGGTGGAGGAACTTGACTGGCCTGCACAGAGTCCTGACCTCAACCCGATAGAACACCTTTTGGGATGAATTAGAGCGGAGTCTGCAAGCCAGGCCTTCTCGTCCAACATCAGTTCCTGACCTTACAAATGCGCTTCTGGAAGAATGGTCAAACATTCCCATAGACACACTCCTAAACCTTGTGGATGCCTTCCCAGAAGAGTTGAAGCTGTTATAGCTGGAAAGGGTGGGCCAACTCAATATTGAACCCTACGGACTAAGACTGGGATGCCATTAATGTTCATGTGCGTGTAAAGGCAGGCATCCCAATACTTTTGGCAATACAGTGTATCTGTTACCTTTTTTCACGATATAATTCTGCAGAAGTGCAATATGGCCTGTACAGCAGATATTTCAGGGGATCGAAGCATACTGAAGATCATAAGACTAGAAAATGTTACATAAACATTTCAAAAGACTGTGGTTACCATCAGTCTATAGTCAACTTGATAATTTAGAAAATAAAGGACGTCAGCACTTTTGCTACTCTTTACAGTGGGTATTCTACAAAAATCAGTGCCAAGAGGTGCTAGGACCTTTTATTGTAGGTGACCAAAACATTTTA